CTCCGGCCGGCCGATGCTCGGCCGTGATTGGTTCGTCTATTAGAACCGGCCGTCGTTCGACCAATCGCGTCGCGCGTACGGGATAACGCGGCCTTTTCGCGATTACGACCGCGATCGAATTCACCGAAGCGACTTTTGGCCCGACTTCTCGACGAAAAGGAAACATGAGTCTACTGTCTTCCTCCATCGGCAGCGTCCATTGCCTAGCCGACGAGGATGTCGATCATCACATGCTTCAGGGTAAATTTCGCTTCGACACTTTGTTCATTGATTTATTTCAGGAGCACGCCCAAGGTCGCGCTGCAGCTGCACCCGAGGAATACGAATCCTCTGATAGCTTTTCGTTGATGACCTCGAGACGCGATCGATACGGACATGTATTCAGGCTGTTTTCTTTTAATTCCGAATTATTGTCTTGAATTCAAATAACTTATTTCGAATGCACTTTGTCTTGGGTGAAGTTTTCGAAATTCTATGATTTTTAGTTGCATATTTTCCATTACAGATTTTCTCTATTATTTTATGCGAATAATAACGTTGTCTGTATATTTGGAAGGTCAGACGTTGTATAAGCAGACTGTTCTTTTATTATTTTACTTTCACTGTTTCATATACTACTGTTTTACTATTTCACTCTTTCACTACCATATGTACTGTTCTTTATTTTATTACTTCACTATGCTACAACATTCTACCTTCCTACTTTGTTATTTTTTATTCCTATTCTGTCACTTTTACATCTACTGTCTTGCCATTGTTCCATTTATATGGTTTCAACATTTTATTCCATATAAAACACAATATTCTGATATTTAATCTAAACGTATTTCGACTTGTTAACGTACCTTTATCTTATTAATTTACGGCGCAGCCTGTATACATGCACATTTATTATGCGTGTCAAGTAACTTGACAATTGGAACGCATACAAATACATTGGTTCGGTCAACTTATCGATATATTTTCATCTACAATATGCGTTGAAAAAAAATAAATCTTACCTTGATATTTAAAAGAGACGATTGGTATCACGATCAATATTGTTCCTAGTCAGTTCCTTGCAGATGACTTTGACGGTCCGAAGCGATGACTCATGGTTACGGTTCATGACTCGAATAGTTGCTGCAGCTGTATCGAGACCTTAAGTGTGCCCATCGTTGCCCTGTTATTAACAATGAAATAATAACACGAGCGACACAGTTTTCTGTTATTTCTTAACTCTGAAACTATCGATATATTGTGTACACTCGTTTTGTTATTTTTTAATTCAAAAAGGAAGTAGGAAAATGAAAGAACAAGTGACTAAACATAACCTCATAATGGACACCGCCATTCACCAGTATACGGATACTTTCATAGGTTGATAAAGTACGAAATAATTTGTTGCGGAGATAGGCATTATTTTTTGTTTACTTTTTCTTTCTTTTTCGAAACCTATATTCGATAATTTTATCGGATATAACCTTTGATCAATCGCGTGTCGTAATTGCGTTACGCGATAAGTATACATGGACAATAATCTTTCCTTAATGAAAACTAAAGATCGCATGAATTAAATATATATATGTTACTTTTATAAGATCGTGTAAAACGAGCTTGCTCGCCGTGATGTTTTGATAAAAGCAGGTTTGCAAACTTGCGCAGCCGCGGTGGTCTCGAATGTTCCCGAACATTCCCGATCTTATCTACCGAAATTGTTTATTATTCTTCGACAAATATTCGACATAAAATGTAAGAAGTTACTTCCTTGCGGAAGATTAATTTTGTTAATAACTTGTAAATCTACAGTAAATCTACCGAAAGAAATGTTCGATGGAAAATTTTATACGCGATTTCTCACAACTATTTTTGAACCACGGGAAAAAAGAGACGTTGTTTTGAATTCAGTAGTGTTTATCGAAAAACTTTCTGCTGATAAGTTGCAGGGTAGGCGTGCCAACGAATAACTTTCCAACATGTGTTTCGATTAAAAGAAACTTTATCTTACCGCATCCGTTGACTTAATACGTTCTTTCCTGCTTAATTTGAATATATTTAATCACTATAATTAATACATATATGCTTTTAATACGATACATTTCAGTACATTTAATGTCATATATATTTAATTTAATATTTCATTCATTTCAATTTATTTAATGTACTATTATGAAATTTGTAGGAAAATTTTTTTTTTACAATATGGCGGCTGTTTCTAGAACATGAGCGACTGAGTGAGGTTATGGTTCCTCAAAAGTTTTCTGACATTTTAATATTATGTAATATTTACTATGTACAATATTATCAAACAAGTATATATAAATATTTTTTTAGAAATATTTAACATATTTTCAGATTTAATTTTTTCTAAATTGAAGTTTTATGTGAAAGGAATTTATGGTATATTCTTAGTTTACTTTTTCATGAAAATTCAACCCATTTCCGGTGAATGGCCTCCTGTATATTTCCACGTGTCTGCAATGTAATATTTTTGTACATACTTGAAAATGAACTGTTCTTTAAATATTTTAGGAAGAAATACTTTATGGACGTATTTTAATTCATATTTTTAAATATATACATATAAATATTATAATAATAATATTGTAATATATTATAATATATATAAAAATAATATACATATAACAGTTTAGATGTTAAATATTATTATTTTTATAGAAATTATTTATACTAAATAATAAAAGCTAATTATATCAGCTCATAACATGAGATTTTATGACTAAAGAAGTAACAAGAAATAGAATGTAAAACAACAAGACTACTCATCAATAATTAAGGTGGTTCGATATACATAATGTTCACACAGAATTTACTGTAACACAATGCTAGAATTAAACAATTGTAGTCGAGTATAAATAATAGAAAAATTACGTACAATAGGTACGCATTATTTTTAATGAGTGTTGCAATTGAAACTAGAAATGCTTCTAATATTATTACCGGTTGGTGCAAGTAGCAGAGTAATTATTACCACCGGATATGCTAACCTTTGAGCGTGTACTCCATCATTGAAATGTTCGTCCTTGACGTCGATAGTAAGATTGACACGCATTCAAAGTGCAGTTAGAGAATGATAATCACTGTTGTTTGGTATTCGCGCGTTAGTCCTTGTGTTTATCGGTTTCTTGCCTCCTTTCATCCATATGGATTCTAATTTGAAAATTGGTACAGTTTGTATTGCACTTTTAAAAAATTTCAGGTTTTCATGTTTTGAAGTTTTCAGAGTATTGAATTTTTAATTTAGTGAATAGATTGATAGAATTTTTGGTATTCATTTTTTAATTTTTGAAGTTATTAATTTTTGAATTTCTAAATTTATGATAGAATTTTACAAATTTACAAGTCTTCAAATTTACAAGTTTTCAAGTTTTCAAGTTTACAAATCTCCAAATTCACAAATTTACAAATACTCAAACTAATTTTCTAAATTTCTAAATTTCTAAATTTTTAAATTACTGAATTTCAAAATTTTCAAATTGTTAAATCTGTAAATTCACAAATATTCAAATTTCTAATTATTTAAATTATTCCTACCCAAAATTACAAATGCACAATACCATAATATTATCATCATACTATCATATCGTCACATGATCATATCATAATATTATCACTTTATCATATCATTACATCACATTATTATATCATCATAACATCATCTTATCATATTCTGAAACAACAAAATTTCAAAGTCACCAAATTCACAAACGAAAGTCCTCTCCAAGGAATAACTGTGCATAATGAATCATTCGTAATTTACCTTGAGTTATTTATCTACAAAAGCGCATAGACCAGTAAATAAAATAATGACGCGTTTATAAGATTAATTAAAAAGCAGCAAGTGATTAATGCGTGGCAGTCGCACCATTACCGGTCGTGTTTTACGTTTTCCTTTAAGAGCCAGGCATACCTAACGTCACGTGGCGTTCGAAGGAAGTGGCCGTGCATATTTATGATCATTGCTTGAGGGCCTCAGCATACCATCGACTAACCCTTATTGCAAAAATGAAAGTATCTAGAGCAGAATTAATACACGCACTCTATCTTTAGTGTCTGTTAACGCATTCGCTACCGATCCTGTACAAAAGCTATTATCGCGACGCTGATTTCTATTTCCTCCGCTTAATAAATTGATAATCACTCACCGAATGATCACCGCTCATTGCGTTAACTCTTATGTCAACGCATCGAATTATTCGCGTTTATGTACGTAACGTCTATTAAGCTGATTTAACTGCCAGACGTTCACGTGAGGACTTCAAGTATTATTTAATTTTTTTTGTTGTTAATTAAACAGTGCTATGTATACGTAGAACTAAGAATTAAGATAATTTAACAATGCTGTGTAAGTATAAAAATAGAAATAATTAAATAGTGCTATGTAAACATAAAAATAAAAATAGTTAAACAGTATTGTAGGTGTAGATATAATTAAGGCAATACATTAACAGCGAATATAACGTTCTATGAAATAGATTTCCAAGCTATGGTAATTACAGGTTAAGTCCATTACGTAAAAAAATGGTATTTTAAGCGTTTCGTAGCGATTAGATCGTATTACATGGAAATAAATTTCGTAATGAAAGTTTTCAACAAGGATTCGTGGCTGCGTCGATTGTTACAGTTACCGGAAATTGCTTCTCGAAGTGAAACCCTTCCCGTTGGGCTACCATCAGACAACCTCTTCATTTCTTCCGGTAAACAATAGCATATCTATATCAGTTACAGTTAACACACTAATTGTAGTCGGTGTAACACGATAATTAATGCATGGAACAATTTCAAAGTTGTTCCGCACGTGAAATTAGCTGAGAATATAACGGTAGATATTAATAACATAACCTTTCTTACCAATTTACATGATTACAATACGACATTGTACAATACATTGTTTTGTCTCTGAGATATCTTATCTCTTCATCGAGACGTTTTAATCCTTGTTCATTGAACTTTATACTTTGATGTATTTTGTCTGTAATTACTCATACGTTTGGCTTAGTCAGTCATTTTGGGAAAATCCTTGATAATATTCATATTTACTCATTGACAATAACTTTAATAAATGTCATTGTTTTTTGCCTAAGTGCGACTGCTCGAGTCAATATACCGCTGAAAATATGTGTGAGGCATTTTTGTATTCTGACCAATGGGAGTCCCTTCTAAACACCTGGGTCAGCCTCTCGCGCCAACTCGTGTGTTGACATCGGTAGGTGACTGTCAAATGGCATTTTGTTCCCTTGTTCTCTGTTTTACGTAACTTGCTTGTTTCTGTACAAGATGCCACGATACCAATGGGGATTGCGAGAAATACCATACAGCCCCGTATCTAACCTCGTCGTAACAGCTAAACGACGAAAGATTGATCGTGAATTAGCTTTACCTTATAACGACATTTCGAGCATCGACGTAATACGCATGAAAGAAGTCGACGATTTGTATAAAGTAATCGAATTATAAATAGATTTGTAATTTGTATCAGTTAACGCTAAAACTATCAAACTGGTGAAATAACCGGTTCACAAGTTACTTATTTTAAATGATGAAATTTGTTGAGATATTTTTCTTGAAATCTCTGTTAACATCGAAATAAGATGTTGATGTATATTCAATTATGTAGGATGAGCTCTGGGGTATGAAACGACGCCAGCCAATTTAGCTCCAATTTTAGCCACTTCATATCCTGAAGATCTGAATACACCTTTTCAAACTGAATGATAACTCAAATACTCGTCCAGCTATATCTAATTAGTCGTAAAAGTAGAAATAAAACGATTTACTTCCTAATACCGTAAATTCATAAGGAGCGTTTTCCTCGGAAACGAAGACACATCGAAGCATTGACCGTCATTAAATTATAAGTTCGAATGAACCATTGGTAGCTCTCGAAATGTAATTACACCGTTAACGAAGCTTCGGTATAAATTAGCTGCAGGAACCGTGACTTGTACGAGGAACGTGTTTGCTGGTTTGAAAAATTTGCTCGTCTAATCGCGGTTCTTCGAAAGGGGAGAAAGGAAATCAAACTTTCTCGCTGGAACACGACATACAATCAAAATATTATACATGCTTGCCTCCAACCGCAATGCACCGGTAATACAATCTCTCTTACATTGACTTCTGTGCGTTGTCCGACACGAACCACCTTATAAATTGCACTTTAGTTCTGCACTGCTTCAGCTTCGCTTTACCGAATCGTCCACTTAATAAATAAAATATATTTTTTTTTAAACACGATCGCTTATCTTTATCGTTTCGTAAAATTGCTTACTCTAGCGTTACTTGGACTAGGTAGATAGGTATACGTGCGTTAGGTTTATACTTTTGCAGATTCCAATGCAAACACATTTTTGCAATTTCTAAATTTATAAGTTTAACAATTGATCAAGTTAATGGAGTTGTCCAATGTCTCCTTCAAGGTCTCAAGTCTTTTTCTCAAATCTCCAAATTCCCACATTTTTTCTCAAATTTTCTTCTTAAATCTTTAAATCATCAAATTACAAAATTTTTAAATTGTTTCAAATTTTCTTCTCAGAACTTCAAATTTAAAAATCTTTAAATTCTCAAATCATCTTCAAGCGTACCAACCCTCAAACTTCCACTATTATCCAAATTAATATGATCTACCCATCTCTCCCCAATTTACAAATCCCCATCTCCCCAAAAGAACACTATTCATTAACCCTCCAAATATCCTCGCATTTAAATAATTTCTACTTGCTCATCATACTACAAAATCTATTTACTCCCATAACTCCACGTTGCGTCCACACAAGAACCATTCATAAGAAACTACAGAAAGTGAAAAAGCAGTAAGAAAAAGTGCGTTGAAAGATTAAAGTGAGTAAGCATCGTTAAGGAGAGACAAGCATCGAATGTAGTGTGAATCAATGGTCGAAACACGTACCGCTTTCGCAAACAGTTACAGTCTGGTC